CTAGTATTTTTGTAAACAAACAAGAAAGAAAAGAGAATTCGCCATTGTTCCACATTTCCAATTAAGTATGTACAAACAATTGACACACAAATCCGTATCTACCACAGAAGTAGTTTATTGCCGTGGAAATAAAACCTCAAAAACCTGGTATGGAAAACAAGCATATTTAATTTCTTACTTTTATTATAATTTTATACTTAAAGGGGATAAAGTTTTTGACACAATTATATCATTATAGCTACGTGCTTTTTCATGAAATATATGCGGGAATAATTAAACTTGTCATTTTAGAACGAGTTCTAAGGAACATGAAATTGCTTTTTGAGGTTAAAAGAAGAATTTCTTTTTTTTAATGACATTCAAATATGACAATTAGAGATGTTGATGTTAACATGAACAGTTTGAGAACAAAGTATAACAATAATAATCTGCACCTTTTGACTGATCTGAGCTAACTTTTTGATCGTTAGATTTAATCACCATTGGTAGTGTGATTTATTGTAGGCCTAAAACTTTTTTTTTTTCAGTTGGTCAGAACAAAACTGGCAGACGTGTTACTTTTTTTTGTTTGGTTTCTTGAAAATATATATATTTTTGTTCTGCAGCAGATGAAAGAAAGTCATACAGGTTTGAAGATGACATGAGGGTGAGTAAATGATGACAGCATGTTTATTTTGTTATGAACTATCCCTTTAAATTAACGTGTGTACTTTTATTGCCACTAAGCATTGTGTTTTGTCTGAACGTTTGAGTCCACTTCAGATTGCCCTGCTATTAGTGAAACCCCGTCACAGGGGTTCTTGACGTAGGCAAAACAAAGTCTGACGGTGTATGTTAGATAACAGGGAACCATAACAAGAAAAACATTTGAAAATGATAGTACTCGGCTACATTATCACAACTCAAAATGCAAGGACTAACTTATACCTTGACCTTACCAAATGCATCAAGCAGCTGTGTTGATTAAAATAGGAGGACTCTCTGGCAGTGGCATTGAAAGTGTTTCTGCCACATGAGCCTCAAACAGGAAGTCATATTCTATGATGCTGCAGATTTCTAAGAGATAGAACTGCATACTCGCATAGCTCCACTGGGAGAGGCTGGTTAATCTTTAGCCTGTCTTTACACAATTTAACAAGATGAACTGTGAAGTGCATTGTCTGTGTGGTCTGTGAATTTAGAGCAACCAGATCAAGAATATCACATCTGATGCATCATTAGAAACCAATATGCCAAACAATATGTATTTAAACATAATTGTAATTTATTTATTAAAGCATGAAAGATTATTGAAACAACTATTTTAAATGTACTTTGAAGCTTTTATTTTGCCATTATTAAAGTGCACTTTTTAAAAGTGTACTTACGTTTAAGAAACACTCATGAAAGTGTCTCTCTTTAAGTGGCATTTACTTCAAGTGAAAGTGAAGTGAGGTGTGGCCAAATATGTTGTCCCATACTCAGAATTTGTGCTCTGCATTTAACCCATCCAAGTGCACACACACAGCAGACCTTTGGGTTACAAGTCCAACTCTCTAACCATTAGGCCACGACTGCCCCAATAATAATATAATATTATAATATAATTATATTTACAAGTACAGTTTTTTAAAATGTGCTTTTTAAGATTTTAAGTACACTACAAGTGCACATTCAGTACACTTCTTTTTCATACGGGTGTCCTTGCTGTTCTCTAGTTGTCTCATGGAAAAACTATTCAGAGACTGTGACTTCAGTACGGCTGGTCAGTGGACTGTTGAATAAAATATGATTGTTGCGAGCCACAATGCCACAAAATCGAACATCTCTGTGGCTGAAAACAAAGACTTCAATGTCTACAAATAAAGGAAGCCACTGTACAGTTGAATCTAGTGAGGGGCGTTAGTAGATTCCAGGCTGCATATTGCTAGGAGAACTGGATGTTTGTCCAGTCCCAAACGTCTGCCCTACAGTTGAGACACATGAATATGGATAGGAACGTGCTGCTGGGGCTGTGTGGGAGCAGAGCTGAGAGGATTCTTTCACACCGGTCAATGTTCTGGTTTCACTGAGACTGGAATTCGTTTATGGGGACAATTGATGGGCATTTGATACAATCCACCCACTAACGATCCATCCTGGAGATACTCGGTACAACAGACAGGAACTTCAAGAGCCTAACTGGCTTTTTTATAACAAGATTAGATTTTACCAAGTCAGTATTTAAAAGTCCACGAAAGGTCTAATAAAAGGTCTGTCTGTCTGTCTGTCTGTCCATCTATCTATCTATCTGTCTGTCTACTGTCTGTCTATCTATCTATATCTGTCTGTCTGTCTACTGTCTGTCTATCTAGCTGTCTGTCTCTGTCTGTCTGTCTGTCTGTCTGTCTATCTGTCTGTCTGTCTGTCTACTGTCCATCTATCTATCTGTCTGTCTACTGTCTGTCTGTCTATCTAGTATCTATCTATCTGTCTGTCTGTCTGTCTGTCTATCTGTCTGTCTGTCCATCTATCTATCTGTCTGCCTGTCTGTCTGTCTGTCTACTGTCTGTATCTATCTATGTCTGTCTGTCTGTCTACTGTCTGTCTATCTATCTGTCTGTCTGTCTGTCTACTGTCTGTCTATCTATCTGTCTGTCTACTGTCTGTCTATAAGTTTGTCTCTCTGTCCGTCTATCTATCTGTCTATCTATCTGTCTGTCTATCTATCTGTCTGTCTGTCTGTCTACTGTCTGTCTATCTATCTATCTATCTATCTATCTGTCTGTCTGCCTGTCTGTCTACTGTCTGTCTGTCTATCTATATCTATCTGTCTTGTCTGTCTGTCTATCTGTCTCTCTGTCTGTCTGTCTCTCTGTCTGTCTGTCTATCTATCTGTCTGTCTGTCTACTGTCCATCTATCTATCTGTCTGCCTGTCTGTCTATCTATCTGTCTGCCTGTCTGTCTACTGTCTGTCTGTCTGTCTATCTGTATCCATCTGTCTGTCTGTCTATCTATATCTATCTATCTGTCTGTCTGTCTGTCTACTGTCTGCCTATCTATCTATCTGTCTGTCTGTCTGTCTACTGTCTGCCTATCTATCTATCTGTCTGTCTGTCTGTCTACTGTCTGCCTATCTATCTATCTGTCTGTCTGTCTGTCTACTGTCTGCCTATCTATCTATCTGTCTGTCTGTCTGTCTACTGTCTGCCTATCTATCTATCTGTCTGTCTGTCTGTCTACTGTCTGCCTATCTATCTATCTGTCTGTCTGTCTGTCTCTCTGTCCGTCTATCTATCTGTCTGTCTGTCTGTCTATCTGTCTGTCTACTGTCTGTCTGTCTATCTATCTATCTATCTATCTGTCTGTCTGTCTTTCTGTCTACTGTCTGTCTATCTATCTGTCTATCTCTCTGTCTGTCTATCTATCTATCTATCTGTCTGTCTGTCTACTGTCTATCTAACTGTCTGTCTGTCTATCTCTCTGTCTGTCTGTCTATCTATCTATCTATCTATCTATCTACTGTCTATCTATCTGTCTGTCTGTCTGTCTGTCTACTGTCTGTCTGTCTATCTGTCTGTCTGTCTGTCTACTGTCTGTCTGTCTATCTCTCTGTCTGTCTGTCTATCTATCTATCTATCTATCTACTGTCTATCTATCTACTGTCTATCTGTCTACTGTCCGTCTATCATCTGTCTGTCTGTCTACTGTCTGTCTGTCTACTGCATCTGTTTGTTTACGCTGTCTATCTGTTTTTTTTCTGTCTGTATTTTCTAAGAACTGAATGTCATTTAAAACCACACACGATGGTGTGAGAGCTGTGTTGATTTCACAGTTATCAGACTTTTTCCTGTTCAATCAGTTGAGACCGGGATGCTGAAACAAATAAAGTTTTCATTGTTTAAGATCTTGATAAGCATCAACATTTATTCCAGTGACATAAGTCTTTTATATAGTTTAATTTGACTTCCAGAGGCTGATGATCAAGGTTATACTTGCAGACTAGTTGATGATTATTTATTTTATTTTTTTATTTTTTATAAAACAAATGTGGAATCTCCTCAAATCTGTCATTTTGTTTTAAAATGTCTTTTTTTTTGTGACAGTCTTGGTTATTCCCTTGTGAAAAAAGATGAATTGATGAATTTGATGCTATTTCTATAGGCTATTTAAAATAGTATATCAACTTTAAATGAAATATCACATTTTTAAAAGGGTCATATGATACGATTTCAAGTTTCTTTCTCTTGGAGTGTTGACATTATTAACTTTCTTGATATTTACTTTGAAAGCTGAAGCGATTATGGTAAGGGGCGTTACATTTCCGACGCATGCTTGTGGTGTTCGGCCAATCACAATGCACTGAGTCAGCTGGCCAATCAGAGCAGACTGCACTTGTCAAAAAAGGGGGCTTTGTTGAAAACAGGCGGGGCATAGAGGACCTACAGTAATGTACAGTATTTGAAAAATAATGTGTTTTTTTGAACATTAAAGCATGTCAACATATTCTGTTACACCAAATACACAAAATAATGATCTTTAAAAAAAGCATCATATGACCCCTTTAAATTATTTAAAATGTACAGTAAAACTTTTAATTTGACTATTAATTGACAGTGTTCTTTTTAAAAGTGTTAAGAATGTAATAAAAGTGTCTCACTTAAGTGTTTTTATTTAATTAATATTATATTGTCTGCAAGTACAATTAAAAAAATTCAATCAAATTAAGCTCACTTCTTTTTCACAAGTAAAACTGTGGTATTTTGGCGGGAACTATGGTTAGCTACCAAGGAAAGTTCTTGTAGCCCTTAAATGTCAATCTCTAAAAGCCATGAAAGGCCCACATAAGTTCTTTGCTGTCTGTATGACGGCATTATTTACATTTCGTGGTGCTTGTTTATCATTGGCAAGTTTCGGTGACTGTTTAGTGTAAATGAAATCATTCTGATGCTAATGAGCTTTCGACTGCCCTCGTGACGTCACGGCGTGGCTGCTGGAGCGCGTGGGCTTGTGCACAGTGTAGATGAGTTCAGAGCGCGCGACTGTGAGTGTGAACATCAAGTACTTACAGCGCGAGACTAAAAGCGAGATGCTTTGCATCAATACAGCATCGAGACATCCGGCTTTAACCTGAACTACATGCACAGACCTCCAGGTAGGTTTCTGCGTGTACGACTGGCTGTTTTAAATTGATTTGGTTTGATAATTGTGGGTTAAATGACACATTTGCAGTTTGAATGCAGTAAATGTGTAGTTGACAGATATACCGTAAATGTGTCCTATGGTGTGACAGCAAAAAAATTAGAAAACAAACTAACAATGAAGAAAAGTCTCTCTTATGCTATTTGTATGCTATTAACAAGAAATTAATTATTAATAATGATTATTATGAATTATTGTTTTCTAAAATTTGCTGTTACACCATAGGACACATGTACGGTATATATGTCAACAACCCATATGCTAAATAGCTCAAATAACATTAAAATATGCACATGAATACACTTTTTATGTCTGAAATTACAAGTCTTTACATTTAAGACTCGTCTTGTAACAGCAAAAAAATTAGAAAACAAACTAACAATGAAGAAAAGTCTCTCTTATGCTATTTGTATGCTATTAACAAGAAATTAATTATTAATAATGATTATTATGAATTATTGTTTTCTAAAATTTGCTGTTACACCATAGGACACATGTACGGTATATATGTCAACAACCCATATGCTAAATAGCTCAAATAACATTAAAATATGCACATGAATACATCTTTTTATGTCTGAAATTACAAGTCTTTACATTTAAGACTCGTCTTGTGATTGCTCTCTTTAATTGGTAATTATTACTGATTTCTATTGTATTGTATTTCTGTTATTAGTTTAAGTATTTGCTATTGTAGTGTATTTCTGATGCTTATTCAGTCTAAATTCTAAAGTGAATTTTGGCTTTCATTTAAAGAGGTTTAGCTGCCAAATGTTTTCATTCAAGTTTTGGATTTACAGTAGCCCGAGGGTAAAAGCGTTTGGCTTGTCTGTGCTTGACAAACTAGAGGGCTCCTATACAGTAAGAATTCAAATGAGTAGATTTTGTGCTAATTTGCTTCTTTGTCATAGTGATAGCCTGGCTTAGATGTGCCATCATGAGGTGCTCTCCCTCTGTGGTTATTTATCTGAGTGTTGGGCAAACACATCAGTGTGTGCTGGCCGTCACGAGAGGAGTGATCCCAGCAGATGCTTGCTGTCCATGGGGACAAACACCACGGTGACTCCTCTAATGGATGTTCTGCAGATACTGGATCCTAATTTGATACTAAATGTGGTCATGCAAACTAACAAATGAACCAAAAATGACATTTTTCATGATTCAAGCATGTTATTGTGGACATACACCATGGTGTATGTTGGAGTATATGATATTACTGTACCAGCATCATGTTTGTCTGTAAGTTACTTTTATAAGCAATAAATGATTTCAAATTGTTAACATCAAAATCTCAGTAAGTACTAATGCAGTTGTTCGACCAGCGGCATGCAAATGATCTAAAGCCTACATGATGTGAACATAAGGAAGTTTTCCTATCAACTAGTTTATCAGATGGAGGGATGAATCTGATGAGTTTAGTCAAATCTAGCCAGTTGGAGAGAAACTGAATTTGTTTTTTTAGTTTCCAGATTTGTTAGGTATACTCACCCTTGTGAAAAAGAACTGTACTTGCAGATAAAACTACATGTAGATAATATAATGTTAATGAAATATAATGCCACTTAAAGAGAGTACACTCTTAAAACTTATTAAAGGGGTCATATGATGCTTTTTTAAAGATCATTATTTTGTGTATTTGGTGTAACAGAATATGTTGACATGCTTTAATGTTCAAAAAACACATTATTTTTCAAATACTGTACATTATTGTAGGTCCTCTATGCACCGCCTCTCTCAAACGCTTCGTTTTCTACAAAGTCCCTCCTTCCGGCAAGCACTCGTCGGAAATGTAATGCTTCAGCTTTCAAAATAAATGTAAAGACAGAGCCCGAAAGGGGAACAGAGTCGCGTGACAGACACAGTGATGAAGCTGGTATGTGTTTGCAACAAGCCACGGTTAAGACAGCTGACTCCACTGTGATGTGACCCCTCTGAGTGCCCCCCCCCCCCTCTCTCTCTCTCTCTCTCTCTCTCTCTCTCTCTCACACACAGACACACAATGTGCAAAACTCCGCATTTGAACAGTCAATAGCAAATACTTAAACTAATAACAAAAAAGCTGATTCAGAAGCGCCAGATAGCAAATATTTGGAATTTGTCATAGCAAACTCTGCATTACCTCCTCTCCTAGGTTCACGAGACGGTCGTCCATAAAATGCATTGCTCTTCTGTTGTAAGTGATCTTAAAGATTCCTAAATGCATCTACTTTCGGAAGGCCAAATAAAGTGCTTTTGCTTTCGCACTGAAACACACAGCGTCTCCCTGACATGCTGCATCAACACTAACTGCGGTTACTGAAACCACACCTTCTTTCTTTGCGTGAACATTTGGGCGCATTATGCAAATATTTCCACATAGTGAGGTAGATATGTGGGGGCGTGTTAGAACGAGCCGTTTTAGGGGGGCGTGGCAGAGTCTTAACTTTGATAAAGAATATCTCTGGTTTTGAGACTTTAGTCTTTGCAGCTTCAGGGATCTTATCTATGCACAATCAGCTTGTAACTCTCCATAGTGAAAGGAAAACTTGAAATCGCATCATATGACCCCTTTAACACACTTAAGTACACTTTTAAAAAGTGCTTTGTAATAATGTCAAATTAAAATTTTTACTTAAAAAAAAAAAGTATTTTTGGTCATGATTTAAATGCACTCAATTTGATGTGTCAACTAACATACTGAAGCACATGTAATTAGAAAGTAATTGATGTTTCTTTAAGTACTGTGTTATTTGATATTACATTTAGTTAAGTTACTATATTTTAAATCCACTAAATTGGAGCTTCATCATTATGATTACAAATATATTTAAATACATAACATACAAGTTTCAATAGAAATGACATTAAAATATATTTTAGTTGATCATAAATGCTTGTCAGTTAATTTTAACCATATTTCAACTACAATAGATGTAATAATGAAATTACATATAAAGATGTACTAAAAAGAAGTCCTACTTAAAGGGTTAGTTCACCCAAAAATGAAAATTGGGCTGCGTTTTACTCACCCCCGAGGCATCCTAGGTGTATATGACTTTCTTCTTTCAGACGAATCCAGTCAGAGTTATATTAAAAATTGTCTTTCATCTTTCAAGCTGTTTAATGCCACTCAGCGGGTGTTGCATTGCTTCAGTCCAAAAGAACTTAAATAAAAATCGCCCATTCATAAAAAAAAGTGTCTCACACTGCTCCGGGGGGTGAACAAAGGCCTTCTGTAGCGAATCGATGCGTTTTTGTAAGAAAAATATCCATATTCAAAACGTAATAATCACTTGAATCTAGCTTGCGCTCACTGTTGTACACAGAAGCAGCTCCGGGAGGATGACGTAAGATGTTGGCGTTGCACATGCGCCGGTGAGTCTCATGAAAACCAATGTTTGTTTACAGGGGCAAAGTTTCCTTACTTCAGCAAAGGAAAACCAGTCTCCTCTTGGCTTATATCGAAATCCTCTGACATTCTTCTTTACAAATCCTCGTTTCGTACTTCTAATTCTTGACCGTTGTTTTGTTTTGATCTCTCCCCTGCGTTTCCGCGTTCGTCACTTCTGACCGGCGCATGCGCAACGCTGAACTCATATGTCATCCTCCCGGAGCTGCTTCTGTTTACAACAGTGAGCTCAAGCTAGATTCAAGTGATTATTACGTTTTGAATATGGATATTTTTCTTACAAAAACGCATCGATTCGCTACAGAAGGCCTTTGTTCACCCCCCGTAGCAGTGTGAGACACTTTTTTTATGGATGGGCGATTTTTATATAAGTTCTTTTGGACTGAAGCAATGCAACACCCGCTGAGTGCCATTAAACAGCTTGAAAGATCAAAGACAATTTTTAATATAACTCCGACTGGATTCGTCTGCCTCGGGGGTGAGTAGAACGCAGCCTAATTTTCATTTTTGGGTGAACTAACCTTTTAAGTGGCTCAAAAAAGCTTATGTTCAACTAATTTAATACAAATTTAAGCTATAATACATTTTCATTTAATTGCAAATTAAATTATATTCTAGTTTATTTCTGTAATAAGTACTCTTTTCAAAATTATGCTAAAATGTTCTTGTTTTTCAGAAGGGCAAACAATGACTATATTCACACAACTAGCATTAATCTGCTGTTCGCTGCATCCCAGAGTGCCCAGGAAAACTCTTGATCCGCTAAGTCTAGAGAGAATCTTTTATATCACAGCCAGCTGTTGTCCACTTGACGCAGAGCCTTCATTGAAGACTAGGCTCGTGTGCGATGTAATCACAACAGTCATAGCCACCCCTAGTAAATATCCAGATCCCTGATGGGTCATTTAGACCTTCATCATTACTTCAGAGCTGCACACAAAATTCAGCAGGAAACACTTCTTACGAGAAAAGATCAGCCTCCCCCGGTGTCATTTATAAGGCTTAAGAGCTATTGATCTTGGCAGCTGATGCTCTTTGTGTTGGAAGTAGGATCTGTAAAAGCTTTCTTTAATCCAGCGTTACACCCGTGGGAGCAAAACATGGGAAACTTCATGTTCTTCAACTTCAAGCTGAAACCTCTTGGTCCAGTTTCAGAAGTCTGAAGATGCTTCCTTTTGTAGACTTATTCCAGTATTAATAACGGACAGTGCCAAAGTCTGTGTAATTTTATTCTTATAACTGATTTTAAAATGCAAAACTCGCCAATATTGGCATGGAATGCCTAGTTTGTGTCCACAGTTTTTAAAGCCTGACTAAACGTATTAAATGCATCTCTTTTCAGTCAAAAGCTATAGATTTATTTATAGATTTGTGGGATATCAGAAACACAAGAATGGAGGCTGAGATCATTATCCTGGCGTTTCTCATCCAGTCCATCTCTCAACAGAGTCAGGGATGGCTGGGAAGCCATTCCGAGCCACGTACGTCTGGACGAACATCATCAACAACCTTCAGACACAGGTGGAGGTGAAGAGGAGACGCCACAATCTGAAAATCTACCATGACTGCTTTCTGGGCTCCGAGGCTGTGGACGTGGTTCTGGCTCACATCATTCAGAGCAAGTTCTGCGGAGACACTGAGGTGCCTCGTTCCAAAGCCGTTCGCCTCTGCCAGGTCCTCATGGAGACCAGAGTCTTTGAGGCCGTGGACACTAAGGTGTTTGGGAAAGAAAAGAGGCCAGTGACGTTTGAGGACAGCAGCTGTAGTCTGTACAGGTTTCTAAACAGACCGACCCCAAGCGCATCAAGCTCAGAGACCATTGAGAGTGGATACGACTCTCTCGGCATACAGAGGAACACGTACAGTCCACCCTACAAAAGGTAGGTATCTCACAACGCTGTTTCCCCACATCAAATCACCTTCACTCAGTGAAACTTTATACTGTATAACTTGTAGGGTTGTAAACCTTTTCCTAATGCTTTCTCTAAAAGACTGGCCTGAAAGGAATGAATGTCATTTCATACCTGTAGGACCTTATTTCATCTGTGAAACACAAAAGGAGAAATTTTGAAGACTGTGCTGGCTGCTCCTTTCCATGCAATTACAATGAATGGGGAATGAGTCTTTCAAGCTTCTAAAAGGAGGCAAAACACAGAATAAAAGTCATAAAAGTAGTCCATATACAATTCCAAGTGTTTTCTAAAGATATTTTTAAAATTGAAGTCCCTTTGTGTGAGGAACAGACCAAAATTCAAAGTCGTTGTTCATTGATAATCTTCCTAACTTCTGCGACCAAATCAGATTAGTCTGGTTTGTAGGGCTGGGTAAAAAATATCTATATCTCGATATTAATCGATTCTCATTTTTAAGGAACGATATCGATTCTTAAATCCCAAGAATCGATTAGTCTAGCCTGTTTTAAGTTAATGGACGGAACGTTGAAAGGCACTTCCCATCCAATATATTGCAATATGCATAGTGGTTTGGTACTTTTAATATGAAACAAAGTCTCAGATTTCAAATTCTTTCTGTTGTATTTTAGTATTCAAACAATCAATGCCGTTTTGGTGCTGTTTAATGTGGAGTGACAGATCGCTGTAGCGCGGCGCACCTAAGTACAATAGGAGGCGCACGTGAACTGATCATCTCCTCCACATTAATACCAGTTTCAGCACAAAATAAACATGACTAAACATCCGAAGGTAAGTTAAAATAAAGAGTATAACTTTACAAGCCGTATCCTCTCATGTAATCGCTCGATCAGTGTTCCAGCCGCGCAAAGACGTCAATATAAAGGCTTGTAAACAATGTCACGTAACGTCACATTTAGATTTTTTCTCCTTGAGAAAATTTGGCATGTACTGTACCTGATATATATCCAAAATAATCGATATTGAATCGAATCGCAAGCTTGTGAATGAGAATCGAATCGAATTGTGAAATTTGTGTCAAAACCCAGCCCTACTGGTTTGTGAACGAATCATTCAGACTGGTTTTATGAACTTGATCATTTGATTTCTTGATGACTGAAAACATTTGACTCAAAACGATTGTGCATCACTACTTTTCTCATGAACTCTTATGTATGAAGTCAAAAGTTTCAGTGAAGAACTTCAGAAAGTAACTAGACTGATTGATTAACTTGACGTCTGCAAATTAATTGGATTAAAAATATTTTGGATTAAAAAAAAAAATGTTTCTGTCACACTGAAGAATGTCCAAATTTTGACATATTTTGAGAAAACATGGAGAAAAGTGCATTGTGTTTTCATTTCCAGTAGGTCACCTACTAAGATACAAGTGTTGGTAAAACCTTGCAAAACTAGTTAATCATTTACTTGTTTTTAGTTTCATAGAGATCTTACAGAATGCTTGGTATTTTCTCTGAATTGTTTTTCCTTTGAGATTGTATACTTTGAAATACCTCAAATCGACTGAGGTTGCTATTAAAAGCCAATCCTCTATAAATGCCCATGAAATGTCAACATCACAGTGAATCATGGACTAAAGGGCCTTATTTGGTGACTCCTAAAAGAATGCATGGTCACACTTTATTTGAAGGTCCAATTCCCACTATTAACAAACCATTAACCTCGACCTTTGCCTCAATAAACTCCTAATGTGCTGCTTATTAATAGTTAATAAGGTAGTTGTTAAATTTAGGTATTAAGTAGGATTAGGGATGTAGAATATGGTCATGCAGAATATGTGCTAATAAAGAGCCAATATTTTAATAATAGGCATGCTAATAAGCAACTAATTAATAGTGAGAATTAGTCCCTATACTAAAGTGTTACGGAATGCATGAAACTTGTTCAGATCGGAAACAGTTTCAGACATGTGATATACTCATTACTATTGTCTGATTATTTTCTTCAGGAAAGAAGATTCTGTGTATTCAAACAACTCACCTGTCAAAACGGATAAATCTCTGGAGGATGTTTTGGGAAATCTGAACATGAACACAACCATCACACCACAGATGAGGAATCTGGGGTTATCACAGGAGTGTATGTTTTCTTTAGAAATAAATGCATGCTTTGCCTAATGTCATGAAAAACAATTTGAAATATGTTTTTTGACTGTTTGACAAAATTGTCATAAAATCAGCTATTTTATTATTTATTACTAAAATAAATTGCCAAAATATATTGGATTTTAAAAAAAGTTTTAAAGCTGACGTGTGTCGTGTCTGTGTCAGTGATGGATGAAATATGGCGGCAGCAGACGGTACTAAGACTCCTACAGCTGACTGAGCTGCCGCTTCTGGAGAGCCTGTTGGAAGGTCAAGAGAGCCCTCGCCCGCCCCTCCACAGCATGGACAGTGACCCAGACTTCCTCTACACCAGCAGCTACCTGGACCGTGAGATCCTCAAGGCCTTCAGCGAGGCTCAGTATGCTGATTATTTACATATCATGCTCCATCTCTATTTGTTTAAAGGGGTCATATGACATTGCTAAAAAGAACATTATGTTGTGTATTTGTTGTAATGAAAAGTGTTTATGCGGTTTAAGGTTCAAAAAACACATTATTTTCCACATACTGTACATTATTGTTGCTCCTCTATGCCCAGCCTTTCTGAAATGCGTCGATTTTAACAAAGCTCTTTGGTCTGAAAAGCGAGGTGTGCTCTGATTGGCCAGCTATCCAGTGCGTTTTGATTGGCCGAATACCTCAAGCGTGTGACGGAAATGTTACGCCCCTTACCATATTGTGATGCCGTGTCCGGAGCGACGAGACAAAAACATGAAAACCCATTATAAACGAGGCATTTGTTGCATCCAGTGGGGACATAATTACTGATTATAATGACTTATACTGTCTTTTTATGCGTTGCGTATCGCGCCGCGTAAACGTAAAACCATGAAACAACAAGCGCTACTCTACACTGCTCAAAACCCACATTTGAATCGTCAGTGGCAAATTCTTTAAATATAAAAAACTTACTTAGTCTGTGAGTCAGAACAGCCGGCATTGTAGTCTACTCTTCCAGGATCAGGAAACAGTCCTCCATAAAATGTGCTGCACACATCTGAATATTTGGGTTGAAGTGTTCTGGAACAGTGTTGTAAATACAACTTAACCACTGATTTCTAGTCGTGTCCTCTTTTGGAAGGCCAAACAAAGTAGTTTGGCTTTCACAACGAAACACAGCGTCACACACGGCGGGCTTGAGTGTGCGGCGGCCGGTGGGCTTGAGAACGGCGTGGCCGGCGGATTCGACGTAGGAGCAGCCGGCGGGCTTGCGGCAACCACATGTGACGACCCTGGCCTGAACTCCGCTTCGTCCACGGTGAAAGCCGATCCGGCGATCCACAGAGCGAAGTTGATGTATTTCCTCAGCGACCAGCACGGATCAGCTCCAGGCATGACGAAGCGGATATCGTCCTCTTTTGGAAGACCAAACAAAGTAGTTTCGCTTTCACAACGAAGCACACAGCGCCTTCACGACATGGCGGCAGCAACAATACTACAGCGAGAATAAAAGTTATGCCTTCTTTCTTTGCGTGAACATTTGGGGCGGCGTTATGCAAATCTTCCCACACAGTGACGTAGACATGTGGGGGCGTGTTAGAACGAGCCGTTTTAGGAGGGCGTGGACAAGTCTGAACTTTTATAAAGAAAATCTCTTTGGGTTTGAGACTTTAGTCTTTGCAACTTCAGGGATCTTATCTATTCACGAACAGCTTGTAACACTCCAAAGAGAAAGGAAAATTTGAAATTGCATCATATGACCCCTTTAACTCCTCTCGTTTTTATTCTGGGGTGTTATAGAGTTGCAATAAATGACAAAACTAGACCTGTACATTTTATGCAAGAAATATATAGAGTTGCAAAAAGTGTTGTTTAAAAAAATATCCTTCTCCATAAATGTTGAAATAATCTCAAACGTTTAGTGGACTAAATGGGAAATATAAAGTACATAGTCACACTATGTAACGTGTATGCAAAATAAAAATGCATGTGGAAGAGTATTTTCTTGGTTGTGCGTCGGCTCTGCTCCTCTGCGCGGATGAATATATGGTTCGACGCAGCAGTGTGCACATGAATTCAGGACTTTATCAGAGATGATAGACAAATAAATAACAGTTTTGTGGTTTTGACAAACGATTAAACAAACAGAGGTTTGCCTTTTAAATGATTAATGTTAATTATTTTCTTGTTCGTTGTGACAGTGAACTTTCAGCAGTACACAGCTGGAGCTTCTTTGACGTGGCACACACGGGCGAATGTCGTATATGTATGCAATTTCCCGTGAAATCCATCCCGACAGCGCTAAAATGTAAATCATTAGTGCTTGGGTTTGGAAGATGGATTTTTTTTTTGCACTCTTTCAATAACATTTTGTAATTTTCATTTTAAAAAAAACAACTTTAAATGAACAGTGATCTGCACCATATTGTGTT